CAAAACGGGACGGAAAACATGAAATTTTGCAATAATCTTACGCCACCCTTGCACAAAACGACAATAATTTTTCTAATTTCATAGACAACAGAAGACTGTATATTTTTTCTACATAACCCCCCCCCCTGAATTTAAAGCTGGATCCGCCCCTGGAACGTGAGGGAACTGGGTATTTTCCAAATACCAAAATTTTGATACAATAAGCTAAGATTTTATTGCCCAAAACCTGAGAAATTATGTCGAGTTTTTTGAATCAGTCTTTAGTCAATTTTATACAATTTAAAGCATTCGGCTGAAGCAATTCATTCTGTGCTTTCCAGTAAAATATATGCCATAGGTTGCGAAAGAACCTATTACATAGTACATGTGCTAAAAAATGCGTAAGTTTAGTTTATCACGAGTTTATGAGATCCTCGGAATCACTGACATCAAATAAGGAATGTCTGTCTCAATGCATAAATGTAATTAAGTTGACCATTTCCTTCCTCCATTATTAGAAATTATACAGCGTGGAAAAGTGTGCATCTATATTTTTGAATCCAACAGTAATTACGGCATACACAAAGCTTTAGTGTCTTCCCAACTTTGATAGTTTTTAACCGAGTTAAACATATTTAAGTTTATTGTCCTCGACAATCTTATCGTCAGCTTGAACTCACTGGCACAATCGACATTCTGATTAACCATATGCGGTTTACTGTCGAATAGTAATACCTCCATATTTCATTGACAAATTTTATTAATCAAATTGGAGCTGGTTTAAGCCGACAAATTAAATACTTACCGTTCCATTATTCCATTCAAAATATAACTAATTAAAACGTCCGAAACGTGCCTCTATATGACTGAAAATTAAAATTAATTGTTCAGAACAATACAAATATCAGAATGCAATGGCTGCTAATGGAACGGTTTAATATTAATTCCTTAATACACAAATTACAAGCTATAAGCCATCCATGAACAAGCAGTGATTTACTTACTTAACAAACCTATATTAAATTAAATACGATGAAGTAAGTACTTAATTCTTATAATTTAACTTGGTGCGATGTGAATTAATTTTGTTAGAAATATCTTCCTAGAAGGAAATTGCTTAAAATACGCTGAAAATGTTTTAAATTTTGGGGGCGAAAATACGAAAACTTTATAAATAAGTTTAGCATTCTTATGAAAAATTTCCTGGTTCATGAAAGTCAATTTCATTATTAAATTATGTTCAGTAATTATCTTTCACAGACATATTAACACAGTTCTTTGGGGTAACTACTAACTCTGTACATACGAAAAACGTATGTACAGAGTCAGGTTTTTTGAAGCATAAATGGCTGTCGAAAAGTACGGCAACAGCTAAAAAATATAATATGCCTCTACTATGATATGATTCGGGAAAATAATTGAAATGATTAACTCGTTACTCCCCAACAAATGTACTAAACAGGTAAAAAAATGTGTGTGAATTTCTACTTTTGTTTTGTTGATTGATTGTTTGTTGATTTGTTTGTTGATTTTTGATCACAGAATCGAACTTCGAGGTTTAAAAAAATATATTTAATACTCCCTAGGCTTCAAAATTGAATTAATGTATATATATATAGATAATTACTTAAAAATATTTTAAGTACTAAGTCAAGTACATAGTAAAAAGAAAAAAACATGTCAATCAATGCAAAAATTGTCATACATAAAATAAAATACACCTTCCATTAATTAGTGTTTGTTGGATGTGTATGATTATTTAGATTACATTTTCATAACAGATATATTCAATTTGGATTACACGAATTAATTTTCCCTTGCCTATCTTTAAATTAGTAATAATAACATAAATTAAAACTACTATCGAATTAATTTAAATCATAATTATGGTTCAGAATGAAACGAAATTTATTAGTTTCCAATTTACTCTTTGAATGTTTGAACTAATATATCAAAATATCAAGTCTTCAGTTACAATCGTGTCGATTGGCTGTTAATATAGAAATTTGTTAGTGATTTAAATGCATTTAATACTGTCTAATTAACTATTATTACAAAAAATAACAATAACCCACGCCTGACGCAAACCTTTTTAACACAATTGTTTTAGTCGGGTATTGGTGTGAATTCGTAAAATATACTGATATTTAAGCGCAAAAGTATTCTGTGAAGTTATTTGCTTTCTCACATTTATGACAAATTAAATTTAGTTTTCTTTTCAAGCATCTTCAAAACTTGCTTTTTTGTGCTTAAGAACTTTTAAAAGGTGTGTCCACATCTCTAGATTGAATATAACAAGTAACATAAAAACGCAGATTCAACTACAATATACAGAGATTTGGAGATAAAAGTAGGATCATTATACACAGAAGGGAAGAAATGCTATGTTTGCAAATTTAAATATTTAACAAAAGCTCATATTTTTTGTTGGAAGTAGTCAACAGATAAGAAGAACATTCCGAAATTTATACTTCAGGCATTCAAGAAAAGTCTTAATGAAATGAATACATAATTTTTACTGAAAATCTCACAATATTGATTTGTAACCTGCTCTCTTAACAGCAAATTTATCCCGCATACTATCGCTTCTGTATATCAAGTATGTTTTATAGGAGTCAACGATTCAGTCAACGTAAGCACACGAACATCTTAATTAGTTGAAACGTTTGAAACGAACCGAAGGATAAACGCGTGTTAAATTTAAACAAAAAATAAATTTGCGGGTTTCATAATTTTTGGACTACAAAATAATTTTGTACTTGACATCCAGAACAATAAAAAATACATTCTCAATTTTATCATGCAACTTACCTGCTGTTAGTAGAAAGTCGTCTTTATCCGTGACTTTCACAGAAGTTACTTCGCCCTTCTGTCCTGTTATAGTCTTTATTAACTTCGCTGAATGTATGTCGTATACATAAATCTTTTTATCTGAGCAACCCAATACTATCCTGCAGCTGTCTTGAGTTATACATAAACTATTAACCTGAAAATGAACCATAATTATATGATTTATGTTATTAGAGCAACCAACATACATACGACATAAAGAGAACTTAAATATATGCTTAAAATGCTAAGAGAGTTTAAACTGTAGATATGGCTTTAACTTCTTTAACTTAACTTTAACTTTAATATATTCGTATGAAAATTTGTTGGCAAACTAAATGCACCAAAAATTAAATCCCAAGAAATTAAACTACCTTAATTAGGGACATGAACGTTATTCAAGGCAAGTCTCTAATTAAGAAACCAAACATATTTTTCGGGAACTTATTGCCATTGGCGGCAGGAATTTCGCGTTGAAAAAGCACTTTGCAAATTTATGTTACTGCTCTCTGGAATACGAATTGCTCTCGGAAAATTCCAATTCTTAAAGAAACAGGGAACACGTTTTTTCCTTAAATTAGCTGAATTCCTGTAAAGCGTGTTTTCGCAATAAAATTATATTATTTGAAAACTTTATGTTTATTGGTTCAGAACTGAGAAATGTTGATATTGATATACAACTTGATATTGATATTTGATATTTTTGACATAATATTATTTATAATGTTGACGAATTTTACAGGTACACATTTTTTTAACCAGTTCAGACATTAGTTTGAAAGTGATAAGCGGTAATCAGTCAACAGAGACAGTGAACAGAAATTTTTAAAATTAAATGATGCAACAAACTACAAAGGTCGATAAATAGATGAGCCACTGTATACGCATAAAGTCAAAAGAGCATTACAATGCTAATAAAACTGGAGCTGGATGAATCAGAAATTAAAAGCACTCAAATATATGAAAATGACGTTCCTATTCTTGGTGCTGACGATGTTCCCAATTTGATAGTTTGACAAATTGCATAAGCTGATATGTTTTAGACGAGAACTGTGTTAATTCAAGCAAAATATTATCACGACCAATCTAAAAAAAATGTTCCAAATCGAAACGATGTGCAATTGTTCAAATACCTACTTTCGCTTTATGATCTTCTAAAGTAATGGTATGAACATCAGTTCCAGTAGCCACAGTCTTAATATATACTTTGCTGTCTCTGCAACATGAAACCAGCCAAATAGAGTCTAGTGAGACATCTAGAAGTTGAACAGGGGCACCAATAGCTATAGTATTCAATAATTGATAGTTGAGAAGAGACCAGAGACATACTTTGCCATCCTTGCTTCCGGATACCATAATATCACCATGGGAAGTAACCTGAAGTAAAAAGTGCAGTGATGTAACTCTAAATAATGCAAAAGCATCTTCGGTGTTAGGAACAAATCAAAGTTTCAAATAAATAAGACAAGTGGTATTCACCTTAATAGCAGTAACAGGTCCACGGTGATGATCAATTTTAGTAACGACATTCCCTGTCGCTAGGGAGCTTATAATAATACTGCTGTCTTCTCCTCCGGTTATAATGACGGCATTATTAAGAGCACTCGTTATACATAAAACTGGCGCTATATGCTCTAATATTTTTAGCTTCATATTTAATCCCTTCAGATCCCACACGATTATACTGATATCATCCGATCCGGTTAGTAAAAACTGACTTTGTTTAGTTACGGCCATGCAGTTCACTTTGTCGGTGTGACCTGAAATTGAATATCCAATTAGTCTTAGTTAAGCCCCAAAATGCAGAGTCGCTAAAGGAATTTACTAATTTACTACAACGCTGGATACACATGGAAACAAGACTTTAAAAGAATTGCTTAAAATTCTTCTACATGAAATGGCTCACGATTTGTGCTAATATTTGCTCTATTCTATTAACTCGTTTTAATAAAAAACTTCGTTTTTTAATTTTGCAAATTAAATTGAGTATTTAATTACAATACTTAATACTGAGTGGTAAAAAATTTCGCTACAAATGACTAGCAAGTAATGAAAAGACAGCATTTGATTGAATTGAGTTTATATCGAGTATAACAAATTCTGGTACATTCATACATTTTTATTTTACGACGGTTAGTGCTATTCAACCTGATAACTCAACAACCTTCAAATAGAAGATAGAACAATTATTTAATCCTGATAGAATATGGGAAATTATTAACCACAGTGTGAAAGAGAAACAAGTTAAGAAAGTAGCAGATGCCAAAATGTGACCCATTTTTTCCCTTCAGTTGAAGACATCTTTTGCTTTTGACCGTTCATCTAATGTCACTCATTTAGTATTTATTTTAAAATTCATTTGTTTCATTTACGGATTCTAATTCCATCAAATTTATACTATGCTTAATTTTTACCTTAAAACTTTATTGAGTTAAAATTAATAAAGTGACATTAATAATAATGGCAATACTATAAAATCTATAACAAAAAAATCCAGCATTTGATTACAAAAATTTGAATACATATGTGAAAGAACTGCTTGCATCCAAGGACATTTTACTAAGAAAGTTTAAGTTAATTTTTAAGCTAATAAATAAGTTTTCATTTATTAGCAATAATGATAAAAAATTTGACAACTCATGAACAAAAATGTGTAAAACAAAGAAACCTATAATTGTCAATTTGATTTTGAATTTAACCTTGAACATAATTTATTAAATTGGTCTGTTCAGGGAACGAAAACATTAATACCTTATTGAATACTTATTAAGTTAGACGTATGTTGTTATATGGTGAAACAGATTCCAACAAGGAATATATCAATAAATGCTTTTAATTTAATATTTTTATCTACTTATTTATTTTGCTTTCGTTGATTATGATTTTTTTACCGATGGAAGCATCCTGTATGAAAATTAACAGAACCTTGCTCTGAACCTTTAATGCATATTTGATGATACATTTCCAACGAATTTTAGTTATTACATTTTAATATCTTCTATTTTACCGTAGCGTTTTAATTGAGGAGCGACATATTAAATCCACTGTATCTATATTTGAGTTATCGACGAAAAATAAATTCATCGGATTCAAATTAAAAGTAATCGATTTTTCAGTTTTAGATATGTATTACTAAAATTTTTTTCAAAAAGGAAAGGAAGGTGCATTTTTACCTTCAAATTTTTTTTCAACTTTTGAGTAGATTTACATCAGTTTACCTGATCATAGCCTGGATGTATAGCATTTTGTTCAATATAAATGGATTTACTTCAATTTACTTAACCATTATTTGGATTGATTTCATTTTAGTAAATAAATAAATATAAAATATGCAACCATAGCAAATAATAAAGTTACTTTTAAATCGTGAAAAACTGGATTTATTACTTTTGCGCTGAGTTTCCTACATTTTCTCGTAAAAATCGAATTCTAATTGGAATTAGATTATCCATAACGACAAGACGTGTAAATAATTTATCGTGTAATAATCATCTTCAAATTAAATTATTGTAATAATGGTAGAAATTACAATTATGCTTAAATATATTTAATTAAAATACCTTAGCTCATTGGGCATGCTAAGCAATTGGGAGAATTTCGTTCCAAATGCGAGCTTATTTCATTAATTTCGAATAGGGATATTTCTCGCTATATATCAGGAAGTGTCAGTAAGCATTTATAATGCATTGTCTCTCGGGTAGGTAGGATAAGATATTTTGTGGATCCTGCGGCATTTCATAAATTCCATAGCCTTTGAAGATGAGAAACCTATTTAACCGTTTGGAACCTACGCGAATACACAGATGCGTTACAGATTTATGAATGTTACGTATATTTGGCTTTTCCTTCTTTGTGTTCCTGTGTTTCACTACGACTCACATAATGCATTGCAATGTGAGCTCAACTTCACGGTGCTTGCGGCATCCTTTATTCTCAAATAGCGCTGCCTGAAATCTTAGCTAATCTGGTAGAAGTGCACGTTCGTAAATTATTTTAGCGGTATTGTTATATTTATGATAATAACTACCTAGCGCTCACAACTTGAGGATGGGGAATGTTAACGTATTTGAAGAATCATGTTTAGCTCAATTGTGCTTGATGTGTGAAACCAACTGTTTGTAAAACTTTATTTGAGGATACACGTTGATGGATTTGCGGGGGTTTCGTTGAACACTATTGTGGTAATTAATCAAACATTTTTAGTCAATTCTAAAGTTGACAATCCCATAAACGGAAATGGAACAAAATGTTTTATCGAAACATGGAGGAATGAATTATGGTGTGATTCTCACATTATGTTAGTGTTACTATAATAAAGGCCATTTACAGCATGTGTATTTCTGTCAGTGCAAAAACTTTGTTTTACTGTGTGTACATATTTTTGTTGAGTCACCAATAATAATTTTGATATCGCATTGAATCATCTTACTCTATTCCTTAACATTCAGAATGAAACTTAGTCATTAATTAATATCTGAACAATAACCACTAAATAGAATATTTGTTCAAGCCAGTGGTTTCCAATCGATTAGATACAATCAAAGACATGTGTAGGGTTGGAATGAATGCATGGTGCGTTTTACAATACAATACACGGAATAGTTTCATGTCAATAGGGCAACATTACAAATTCGTGTTTAGTAACATGTATAGAAATTTAATTTATTGTGGTGACTAAAAAATCTGTTGGCTCTCTTTGAGAAAAAAATTTCAAATTTTTTTATGCCTATACCTCCACACAGAACAATTCAGTATCTTATTATAATAATTTCAATTTAAATATATATTAAAGCCCCTTCATATGAGATAATTACATCTACATTTGATCATTGGAGTTTTATTGACAACAAGACTAACATGAGTAAAGGCAATTGCCGAAAATACAGATCCGCAGGGTTTGTTTGCTACTAACTAAACTATGCAAAAGTAAATTGCAAATATTCATGATAAAATTAATCCAATATTGCTTGTTCATTTATGAAAAAAGCATCGCATAGTCAGGATACATTTATTTCGATAGTTCGAAAGGAGGGAAAAGGCAAATTTTATACGTATAAATGATCGTTTTTGCAAAATTTACTATCGAAAGATTATGAGAGGCGTGTGGATTCTGGTATATGATTCAGTCAATGCCAATGGTATGCTGAATTATTTTATGAAATAGTATAAGCCGATGAAAATAAATTTAGCTATTTGTGGTCACATCAAACAAATTCAGAGCAAATGATAGAAACTGATAAGTGAAATTAGGATTTAACGTTTCTCGCATACAAGTGCTTTCAAAGTCACCTTAAATTGAACAATATGTGTTGACTTTTGAAAATGATTTTAAAAATATTTCGGTGGCTTAAGGCGTAATAAACACGACGCAATTTGTAATACGTCCAACGTAACAGCACTTCTTCGCATGAGTGGCGATTCATTTGCACGAAATTGCCACCGAAAAAAAAGGGTTTGGTGTGTTCTAAGCAGCTGTAAGACGTAATTTATAAAAATAAACACGCAAATTTCAATGAACTGAAAAAGGGTTTAAAAATATTGATGGTTGGTCAGAAAAACAATTTGTTCATTGTGATAGCGTTGCAATGTTTGCACTGATAATAGTTGTAAGATTGTAAAAAATATTCAACAGACTATATAAATTATGGTCATTATCATGGAATGTAGGCTTTTACGGCCGGACTCAGTAAAACATTGTTAGCCGGGATTGTAGGCCGTGGTCCGTAAGAACCCGACGTTTCGTCTGCAACTGCGGAAGACATTATCAAATGCGATAAGGTAACGATTGAAGTGATCTCTCTTGGGACAGAGCAATTTATTCTACTCTTCAACACATCAGCCCTTTAATTATCTGATGTGTATTTCGTTATCGATCAACTTATTTTCACAGTTTCTCAGCGGCGAAAGTATTCAAACACATACCTAAACCTACTTTTCAATAATAAAACCTGATTAACGTTTGCTTGATAAAAGTTGTTTCCCCACAGGACTTGTCAGTCAGTTGTGGTTTCTTTATATTGTTTTTGTTTGTAAAAGCGGATTGTACCTTGTTATTAGCCTTCTAATATCGTGTTGCTGTGGTTATTTCGAATGTAATTTATCATTGTAGTGAAGAGTGACCTACGTGTAAAGTGGAATTGAGTCGACGAAGTTCTAAAAGACTTATCGCTCACAATGTGTCCGAAATGTACAAGTGTGACTATATAAATCCGAAAGTTTGTGGAAGTTGATATATTGTATTCATTCTTGCTTCTCGGCGTGTTTTATTAGACATATCTCCCAGAATAAAAAAATGATTTATTACATTCGTTTCTTAACATGCTGATGTATTATATCTAGATGATAATATATTGCTATTAAATTTCAATGGTTCAATCAGTTCTGTAGACGGTTTACATCTTTGTAAAGAATTATTAATCACACCTGAAAAATTGTGTAGAAACATTCAATCAACATTTCACTAGAAAGTAATCTTGCTGTTGAGGCACAGGGTGTCTCAGAATAAAATGAAAATTTTGCAGATTCTAATAGATTGCAAGGAATCATATTAAATTGTAATATATTTTCAATATACGGCTCCTACTTACGGAGATTCAGGGGACTATTCTGTTACCATTCCGTTAAGATTAAAGAGCGTTAAAAGTTTACGGTCGTTAATTTTCAATTGGTATTTTGTAACTCTTTTATCCATTAAAAACATAATCTAATTCCATCACGAATATCGGCCAACCGCTTATTTTTAATGGTATCCTAAAAGGAGTCGTTAACTTTAGGCCGACTAGTTGTTGACGAATTAATTTTAAAGATAAGTGTTGTAAAGTAGTTGTTTGAGTGGAATTTTTTAAATCGCATTTTGTGGTATTGGTGTAGTCGTTCTGACAGAAGAAAATGATGGCCATTGTTGTTTGATTTGCTATGCACTTTTCCTACAAGGCGCAACTTCGTCTGCATTGTCAAAGCCTTTGAAATATGCACCCATTTAATATTCCCGGGAATTTGCAACGAATTATCAGAGCGAATTTTGATATATTATATTATCCTACTATTGTTACACAATTTACTAACAAACTCTTTTTTAGGTTCATTTAGGTTCTTTTGATAACGATAGCAGAAAATAGCTATCGAAACGTCAAGGTAATTTTTCAAATTAATTTCTCTACTAATTGGAATTTTCTCTTACAGCTTGAGCCTAAGTGTGTCGCAGGATACCCTCTAGGTGATAGTTCTTGATTACTTTTTGATAAATAATTCGTTCTTATTGCGAAATAGGAGCACTATTTATCAATCTGTAATAAAAGACGTGAGGAAATTCTGTCTTTTTTAAAGACAAAAATTTTTGAGG